TTTTACACAGTCTCAATACTTTTCAATTTTAAAAGCCTCCATTTGTAACCATATAAGCGTTTCAGGTAGACAAACTCTATACACTACAAAAAAACCACGGGATTGACAGAGATTTTGGCAGTGATTTGGTAGGGATTTTGGTAGGGAAGTGCCAAATCCGTGCCAAAAACATATTGGCACGAGCTATTTGGCACGAAAAATCGGTAAGTCCGTGCCAAATTCCGTGTCAATCCCGTAATTTTTTTGTAGTGATAGTTTCGCTAATCAACTAATATTCTTGCTCCAATGTCTTGTTAGAACCTTTAACATTAGAAATTCTTTTCTTTTATAAATAACCTTTTAACCTCTGGAATCTTTAGTTTTTTCAAGCAAAAGTTGAAACCTATAAAATTAAAAAGTTTAGAGTTTCTTACTTTGTTTCTTGAGCACACATGGAACCTCCTTCCTGGTTGTCATTAGGGTTGTAAACGAATCAAATAATTTGTGCTCGATTCGCGTTTCGAATTCGTATAAGACGATTCGAATTCGGAAAATTCAAATACAAATACAAATAAGAATATTAAATTTGATTCGAGTTGTTATCAAATACAAATAAGAATATCAGTGTATTCGATTCGAATATTAATCAAATATATTCGATTAATAATAATGATAATATTAATGTCAATAATAATAATAATAGTAATAACACTATAATAACTTTTAAAAGATAACAATACCCTCAAAGTGTAGCCCATATATACACTTTTGCATAGAGATTCCAAGCTCATTTGTAATAAATCATAATATAAATACGAATACAAATCAATTTTTTGGTTCAAATATCTTTCAAATACAATACAAATAGTTATGTATTCGATTTGAAGAATAAAATTGGAGTTATTTGACTTTGATATATACAATTATCAACCTATTTCACTCATTATAAGTATATATAATTTCTAATATGTGTGTGCACGTGTATATTTCAGAAAATTTGAAATAGATTTATATTTATTAATCATAAAATTAATTCACTTTAGTATATTGTGTACCATCTAAAAATGCATTGATCCATTAAACTTAAATTCTAAAAACACACATTAAGTCATAACAAACAAGGAGTATAAGAAAAGTTTTTTAGAGTGATATTTGACTAATATTTAACTTATACTCAAATCGATTCGATATTCGTATATGATTTGTTAATTATTCGTATTGTTAAACAAATACAAATACAAATCAAAATTAATATTCGTTTCATATTTGAATTCGAATTCGTATTCGAAAAAATTAAACAAATACAAATAAAAAATCTCATTATTCGACTCGATTCAGTTCGTATACAACCCTAGTTGTCATCAGTCCATGAAGTTAAAACAACGGCCTTCTCACCACAATGACATTCCATAGATCCTTACCTAAGAGCCATTATTTGCTAGTTAGAGGAATACACACTCACCTTCCTTCAATATGTGGAGAAGCCAGACCAAGGCTAGCCTCCGTTCTTCTCTTAGGTTTTGTGCTTTTATTGTTTTAATGGGGAGGGGTTTGGGAGAGCACAATGAAGTGTTTGGGGTTGAGACGTAAAAAGGGGCCATATCCAGGTCAACAGCAAAAGTTAGGAAAAGATTACAATAACTTTCCCAACTTTGCTTGGAGTACACCAAATGTGTACACCTTTTGTGTACACATGTCTGTCCCCAGCAGACAGGGGACATGCATGTGTACGCAAAAGGTGTACACATTTGGTGTACACCACGCATTTTTCTAACTTTCTAGCCAAAATTTCACTTTCTGTGGCTAATGTCCTGAAATTGAACAAATATATTAGCTGGAGGATGTATTTTGCAGGTATGTGAAGTTATAGGACCAATATCGGCTATACACCAAAGTTATTTGATAAACGTTAAATTTCCCATCTATATCACTCTGTTTCAAAATGATTAAGGGAAAAAATTTACTGAGGTGTAAATTTTACTGTAAAGTACACTGTTTTGACACTGTGTGACACTGTTTTGCATTGTTTTGTATTGTATTGATATAGATTTGTTTACCAAATAAGGAAAATAAAGAAGTGTCACATTCATTTTGAAACATTCAAAAAAAGGAAAGTGTGTTAAAGAATTTGAAACAAAGGGAGTATATGTTTATGTTAGGAGAAAAATGAGAGAAATCAGCCAAATACATTTTACGATTGAAATGTAAAGAAGTCGATCAATTCCTAACCACCCCAGTATGAAGGATTCTATGGTACCCTAAATTTGATATCATACCTCTATTCATACAAATCAATCAAAATATTGCAGTTGAATTATTTAAATATAAATTAAATACTATATCCGTCCCAAAAAACTTTGTCATTTTCAAAACTTTGATGAATTATATTTTTGTATTGGAAATTATTTATAATATAAAAATTAAACGAAAATGTTCTTTGTTAAAAGTACTTTCATAAAAGTATAAAATTTATAACTTTCATAATATTATACCGATTAAAACCATGGTTCAAACTTTTGAAAATGACAATTTTTTGGGGACGGAAGTAGTACGTAGTAATGACTTAGACCTCAATCAAATCATGAACATATGTACATACTACATTTTGATCAAATTAGCGCCGGAATTGGGAAACGTAAAAGTGCGATCACAATTGAGCCAAAGTGCAAAAATTGTATTTCAATTTCATATGTAAACTGTAATTCTCCCTAATGCCCACCACATACTTAAACATTTGCATGGTGCATTTAACACATGTACAAGAGAAAGAAAAAATAAAAAAGGAATATGAATTGCATACTATACACTTATACAGACTATATTACTCCTTAACGGATTAGCTACCCTGCCTGGCCGTAAAATTTATGTTACGAAAACCAAAATTTAAAGATTCAGTATATTTTTTATTGCCTGCAAATATTCAATTTATGCATATGTACATACAAAACAAATTTTTCTTGGGACCGAGGCCCTCAAGCCTCCCCGGTGTCCCGGCCAGGTCCGGCGGTGGAAGGCCAAGAAAATGGATGGTTATTGACATTGGATGGCGGAGGTAACGGCCAAGAAGGCGGAGGGAGTGCATGGGAGGGTAAGGCCGCCCATGGGATGATGAAACCCATACTCTTCCTCCGCCAGCCTCAACAGCCGTTGAAACAGCGGATGCTTCAAGTACCATATCGGAACCACGAACCGTTGCTTCTTCTCCTCCGGCCGTTCTCCGACGACATACACCGCCACGTGCCCCTTCCGAACTTCGTCTCCGCCTCTTCTCCGCCTCGCTCCGGCAAATACTTCCCTCGCCTGACCGGCTATCATATGTAAACGGATTATCGTGATTGCCATTCCCATCAAAATTAATTTACTCCACAAGTTAAGTAGCTAGCTTGAATATGAACAGCACTATATAGAATTGGAAGTGTATAGTACGGCCTATTATTCCAACGGTTTAATTAAGAAATAATTGTAGCAAGTGGGACTTGAGATATATTACGGTACTCACTAAAGTTACTATAACTAATTATTAAATAGTAGTATTAATTAATTAATTAATAGAGAATATCGACTGTCTCTATATGAGTGCTTACATATATTAATTAAATATACGGAATATTTTTATGATGCGTTATGGCGGGGATGATAATTAATTTGGCGCTAGTGGCCACCAGATAATTTACATGATTATTGGAACTTAGCATGCGGCTGGTATTTATTTGAATTATTTTTTTTGGAAGCAAGAATGAAAATTATTTCAAAACCATAAATAAAGGTTACGTTGTGCCAACTGCCAAGACGTAAAATGCCCTTTCTTTAATAGGATTATAGATATCGGTGGATAAAATTATACTCGTGAGGCTAATTCTGAACGTTAAAAACAGAAAAATAAAGTTCCGAAGTACTTTAGGAGTTTACGACTTTACGTACGGCAGTAACACAAATCCCTAAGGCACAAATCTAATCAGCGCCTCACATACATTCTTCCAAAATGTTTAATCCCTAACTGCAAGGGTCACTCACGTCCCGACTCAATCGATTCAATGGTGATATATCTTGTACTTGTGCGCATCAGAGGTTTAGCTCAGTACGTATGAGCTCTATTTAACTTCCACACGTCCGTTACGTTGTGGGTTTCGATTATTGATCATTCTTCAAACTTTCTTACCACTCAACCAACTGAGCTACCCGGTCGTGCGAATTCAACGTGCCCACATACATAAATCATTGAAATGTCCATTCATCCGAGATACTTGAGTCATAGTCTTGATTAATATCTACGATCTCCTATTAAAAGTACAATTTATATTAAACTCGGTTATAGTCTCGATTAATGTCTACGAGTCTCGGTTATAGTCTCGATTAATGTCTATGAGTCTCGTTACTTTATAGGTATCATAAAATCTACTTTTATACCATCTTAGTTCATTCTTGGATCAGTGCTAAATCCTCAAAAATGAAGTGTCACTCCTTTTATGAAAAGTCTAGTCATAGACTCGTAGCTTACGTTATGTCTTTTCACTATGTGGTTCGGAACTATTAATGTCATTTTTTTTACCGGGGGATTTGAGAGTTTCGAACTCGAGAACTCCCATTAAGCACGGTAACATCATAACCAGCTAGGCTACTCCTATCTTGTATGGTATGGTCAATTTCAGTCTAGTTTGAAATAGCCTGTTTGTGTACTTTATAATTTTTGAAGATTTAGTTTGATTTCATATGTTTAAATTAGGTGGATGTGAGCTTGGACCAAAACCATTCCAATAACAAAACATCGATTTACACCCCGGGAAAAAATGGAAAATGAAAAAACGTGTACATATGGCGCGATCTCTCGGAACGTCTACGAGATGGCTGACCTTTAAACAAAAGCTATCTCTGGTAAATTAAAACTAGAGTCGTTTAAAATACATGTATTTAAAAAATGACTAACCCACGCTAGTAGTGCTGATACAAATTAAATAAAGAACAAATAAACGCTCGATTTGTTTCAAAAAATAATCCTATTAGAAATCTTGCCTAAGTGAAGTGGGAATTCATGGGGATGAGAGAGTAATATGCGGGGTAAATTAACTAAATTTTAACAAGCTAGACGAGTCTACAACAAATAGCTGCGCTGTTCTATATCTTAGAGATGTACTCCACATATTTTATTCCTAATTATATCTTTTTACTTTTATGGGGTTATTTTCTCAATATTACCAAATTAAAAATGATTTCCAAAAATGTGACCATTTTTACATTTTGAACAAAAAAGTGATTAAAATATTTTTGACAACCAAATATTCATGTCACTGCTCCATTTTTGTGTCACTAGCAAATGTCACTGTTGTCGTCGCCTGTGTCACTGCTACCACCGACTTCCCGGACCGCTTTCCCGGCGGTGACCACCTCTCCTCAGCCCCTGTACCGCTGCCGCTGCCCCACACCACCCTCATTGTACACCACTCTCAACCCCTCACCACTGCAACCATCACCCACCAGATCTACAACCCTCCCGGTGGCCGCGGCTCCAGCTGTGACTGTCCTCCCAACCCCTTGTAGCACACAAGTCTCTCCCTAGACCTAACCCTCTCTTCAGCATCCCCAATCGTCACACCCCATCCCACACCCATACCCGCCGCCCAAATCAACCTCATCACCGCCCAATTCAATGTCACTGCCGCCCAATTCAACCGCACCACAAGATCCGAAATCTCACGGCGACGTGGATGAGACGACATATGGCGGAGGTTGGAGATGGAGAAAGCGAACATGGACGGGCTTGGCGGAGTATGGTGGAGGTTGGAGACGGAGGTGGGGCTTTTGCGCCTGGGGCGAACGACTTTAATATGTCTGCTTCTCCGGAGCTGCAAGCTTGCGACGAAAGGGAAGAAATGCGTAGATATGGGGTCTTGTTGCAGAAGACTGACGCAGAAGACAGAGGGGAGTGATTAGTTTTTGGAATTAGAAACTCAGAGAGTAATATTAGTGTCATTATTTCTACATTACATATATTTTTTCTAGATCTTGTATACAAGGATTGTGTATTACCACCTAGTATGTAACTTGGTGTCAAATCGTGTTAAAGGAAGAACGCTTTTCCTAAATGTACAAATCAAATTGATCCATGAGCTAGATAGAAATATGGAATGTATTTTAAATTAGGGATAATTTGAGTTTGCACACCATTTTAATATTCAAATTAGACTTTGCACCCTGTTTTTGAAATCATTAGTATTTGCATCTCAATCTCGTATGAAAAGACAAAAATGCCCCTCGATCAGGATTATGTTGAAGGCCAACAAAATTGTTAATTGAGGGACATTTTTGTCTTTTCATACGGGGTTGGGTGCAAATACTTAAGATTTCAAAAACGGGGTGCAAAGTCTAATTTCGACAATAAAATGGGGTGCAAACTCAAAATACCCCTTTAAATTATGTATACACGTTCATTTATTTGTGATTTTAGATGCATTTTATTCAAAAGTAGTATATACTATAATACTAATACCATGTGCTCAAAATAACACGGTTTTAATAATAATATAGCAACAATAATAACATGGTTTGTGCTAATAAAATAGAGTCCAAGTAATTTTGGGGTCAATTGGACCACGTTTCACCCGGCCCTAACTATCACGACAACGGAAGCGGATCGTCTTCATTTATAGAACATGCTAAAGCTCCCGGCCAGGCCAACTTGTATGATTGCATCAAATTTAATAATTAATTAATGGAATCGACACACATATCATACACTGGTATATATGGATAGCACCTGGTTTTGAAGAACCCGTATTTGTGTTTAGTACCCGGATTAAAGCAGTCTTGTACAAAATCTTAGGTTAAGGGGTGGATGAGTGTTTTTAATTGCACTTATTTCTGCACTTGTAAAATACCCAAAGACCGAACATCTACCATACCAAACTAAATCAGATCAAATCATATCAGATCTGACTTAAATAGACCAGATCAGAAAGTTTCAGTTCAAATAAAAGCATCCATACACATACTTATATGTTATTAATCTCTAAAGTATTTTCTCAAAACCATTTTTTGGTACTACGAAGTACTAATTTCTCCGTATTGATTATACTCCCTCCGTCCCTTATAACTTTGTCAACTTTCCTTTTTTGGTTGTCCCAAAAACTTTGCCACTTTCTCTATTTGTCAATCAATTTGTGGGTTCTGTTATTTCTCTCTCCTCTGCACAAATCTCTACCACACAGTTTTTACTTTATTATTCTACGTGCCGGTCAAACTTGGCAATCCTTTTAGGGACGGAGGGAGTATATGTTATTGTTATTATTAAATAAATTCTAATGCTTCTCGGTGAAAACCCCTCGTCCTTGAATCGTGGGAATTGCTCCGCAACTTTCCATTCTAAGATTGAGACTCAAGTAGGTTTCTCTCACTTTTCAAGAGCTAGGTTTTTCTCGCTTGTCGAGAGTCAGGCTTTTCTCTCGCGTGTCGAGAGTGGTGCAATGACGCACTTCTACGAATCGGTTTATCTTTGGCATTTTGATCGAGTGCATGGTCAAGACATGATAATCATGGCTTTTATGGATGATCTAGAGCAACATTGTCCTATCCTAACAATTGAGGAGGAGGTCGAAGGGATAGTTCTTGGCGGATCGACATGGTTGGAGGACGGTGGTGGTAGTGGAGGTGACACGAGCAATGAGCAGACGTGAAGAGGTGAAGGGCTGAGCAAGGGAGAAGATAGATCGGCGGTCCGCCCACCTCCTGAACCGTCGCCTTGGAGCGATCGAGGACCTAGGGTTTGGAGGATTTATCAGTTATTTTATTTTGGGAAAAGTACGGAAAAGGTAACTGTGGTTGGACCCGTTTTCAGATAGGGTCATGTGTTTCATTCTTTATCAAAGTGGTTCATGTGTTTAAATTCCGTTATCACAAGAGAGTCGCGCCGTTAAAAACGTCTGAAAAAATCGTTAAAAGTAACTCCGATTTTCAAAAGTACACGAAAATTTAAAAGAAAAATACTGAAAGTTGCGTCTCGTCAAGATGACCTCCAAACCACTTTCGCGTTTGGATTTTCCAGATCTGTTTGAATTATTTTTTAAAATGATTTCGCTAATACCACTTTTCCGATGAACTTTCCGGTGACAAGGGTGGCTGAAAATAAAAAAAGAAAGATGGCCTAGCGGTCATCTTATTGAGGCACACTTTCCGGAGTTTTTCTTTTAATTTTTCGGACACTTTTGAAAATCGGAGTTACTTTTAACGGTCTTTTTCAGACGTGTTTAATGGCGTGACCCTCTTGTGATAACGGAATTCAAACACATGAAACACTTTGATAAAGAATGAAACACATGACCCTATCTGAAAACGGGCTCAACCACAAGTACTTTTTGCGTACTTTTCCCTTTTATTTTTTATGTTCTTATTTTCACGTTATGTTTTACGTTGCTCTTTTTTTGTTGATGTCTTTAATTTTAGGTCTACAATGATGATTGACAATTCTGCTAGATATTATGTCGTCAAAAGGATCTATATGACCACTAGTTGTTGTATCACACCCGTTTGCTCTTTCAAGGGTGGTCGTCTCTGAGTCTAGTCGTAGCGTTGATAGTTCTAGTTGGTTACGGATAGTTGTTTTCAGTGTTGGTCTCTTTGAGTTTGTTGTAGCGATCCGAATTCTAATGATATTAATATAAGCGGTTATTCCTTTCAAAAAAAACTAGGAAATACTTCATATATATTATCTCATTTTGACCCCATAAGATGAATTTGTAGCCCCCCCCCCCCCCCACCATACCCAGTAATATAAAGTAACTGTCCTTAGTAAAACAACTCTTTCTCTAAATAGGATTTCAAGCTAAATATTTTCTAAATAGGACTAAATATTAATTTTCTACTATAATTCTGTTGCATATATATTCGGGCCTGTTGGTGGAGGGGCAGTTCAACATCATCTCAAGTAGGGATATCCTTGTCCTAAGTTCAAAAAATACTCAAATTTTGGGAATTTTAGAAACCTATCGCTGTTTTTACACTCCCTCCATGTTTTACTCTTACATATTATTGCACTTTTTTATATTTTACTCGTAGGAGATTATCTCAATAATATATTTTTGGAAGAAAGATGATCCATTTGGAAGAATTAATTAAGCTATATATATTCTAATTATTGATTCAATTCAGAAAATTTTCTATGTGGTATTCCACAAATAAGACAATTATTGAAAAAGAACACATTAGTAAGTGTGGTTTGACGCATTTATATTTAAATGTATGTGGTTTATTCTCAAACAAATTGAAGTCCTTGTTATTGTGTCATTAACATTATACGAGTTTCTCCATTAATATTTACAAACATTTTTACATTTAAACCATATTTGGCGCTAATATCTTTTAATATGGTTGGTAACTGTTATGGTTAATAGCAAATGATGTAACTTTTGTAAGTACGACCTACAACTACCATCACCATTGCTGTACCGTTGATTGTCATAGGACTTTTTGGAAAAAAATACTACGTTTGCAATCAAAATTATTGCATGTAATGTTTATGAAAAGTATGCAGCACATGACGAATTTATGTAATTACTTCAAAAATTATTAACCAGAATAAAATATGTGTCAAAACGAACTCACTACATTATATTAATTAATTAAAAACATTTTTATGTAGTTTTTACTTTTTTATGTAATTAATTATTTCTCACCTAATTGGCTAATTAATGATTTTTCATAGAGATCAGAGTTGATTGATCTCTTGGTCCAAAAGGTGTAATCTCCCACCCCAGGAGCCCGACCCCGACCCGACAGGATGGTGGGGGGGTTAATCACGGTGACTCAGTCAGTAAAGCGGCGGTAGACCTTATACACGTGCGCACCAGAAGTCCAGCCTTATTTAATTTCTGGTTTTGTAACCTCCACACGGCCGCTGCGGGTTTCGAACCTTGGTCACTTGATCCAATTTTCTCATCACTCGAACAACTGAGCTACCCGTGCGGGTAGAGTTGATTTTCACTACATCGATAATGTGCGGGAACATAGTGACGGATGACAATTGGGAATTACTAGATAGATAAAAATGAGTTACTGAGCGTCAATGGTTAGTAACGGTGGTGATGGTATATTGGTATGTCGTAGTTATATAAGACTATAGGAGCGCGCATTTCTAATGCCACAATATCAATAAGAGATGCCCTAATACGATGATAAGAATTGGCATATTAGTACAATAATTGGGAAATTTCTATGATATCATCATTATATCATACTTTATTCACATTGATCAATTAGAATATTGCAATTTAATACTTCGATCCATAACTTAAACATAAATATAAATGAAAGAATAAATGAATTATGAGGTGAATCAATCAAATATACAATAGGTATATCACCCTCATTACCAAACATCCATGCATGGTTGGTCGATCATCTCTGCATGGAATGCACGTCAATAACGAAAGGTAAGGGCTTTTCCCGGCCTTATTAGAAAGAAAGATACTTTCATTTGTCAAATGATACGTAGTAATAAATGGTTACATTTGATTATTGTGTCCAAATAACTTATCGGTGCAATAATACTGTCATGATAATAAAAGGTTACAAATTTATGAGTCTGCATATGAATATAGCGCGCCATTCGGTTCAAAACATGCATGTATGAGTTTTGTACTACGTATAAATTGGAAAGTTTTGGCTAATTATATTGAAGAATCCAACAATTATCATTTCCTGTTATGAGAACCACTTAAAGAAGTATTATATAAGAGAATTTACCAAAAGATGAAATATCCCTCGACTTTATAAAAGGCGACTGACTTATAAAGTGTTTCATATTTAATGTATAGGCAATTTCATGTGATATTTTTGCATGTAGTAGTGGAATAAATCATGGCCATTCACTTTAGAACAAAGTTTTAATTGCGAAAAAGGATGAAATCTAATCTCTGTTTTATTTAGTACTACGTACGTACTACCGTATTAGCCATTAATATAACTGTTTCAATTGAAACATTTTAGAAGAGTTAGATTGGGAAAAGTCGTGTATGTTTGGAATCATTCCAGGTGACTATATCTCACTTGGAAGATTTTGCCACACACAAAAAAAATCCCAGTTGGAGGATTCATTGTATATATAGGATGAAGAACAAATAAATTAGTTTCAACTTTGAGAGATGTCTCGATCCGATCCCCACCAAACGAGAGTACGAGACGAAGAAAAAAACTGGTGGACTCTTAGATATCACGAAATTAAAGAATGAGAGTTTGAGAGAAAAAATAAAAAACGTTTATGAATTGTACCATAATTACAAATGCGACAAAACATATTAAATACAACTATACATAATTGAAGGCGATACAATCAAATATACTTCGTATATAGACAAATTTATATCAAAATTAAGAGTAAAACATACTGCCTCCCTCCCAAAATTAACTTCCCGTTCATTTTACGATGTTTGACCGACGATAAAGTAACTCGATCCCTGTTACAAAATGTACGAGACTGCCTATGCCTCATTTCCTCATTTTAAGGCCTATTCGTTCTTATTAAAATATAATAAAAACCTTTTCAAAATAGAAGTTGTTGAGTAGAAAGTAGTAAGAGTGGACAAATTGGAAGCAATTCAATATAGTGAAAATTAGAGTAGTGAATACATGAAGTAAGATGACTTATTTATAGGCATTTACAAAAGGCCCACTCATTAAAGACTACACGAGTGTGGTCGAATTAAACCAATAATACTAACGCTCAGTCGACTCATGCCCTACACATAAATAAATAATTGCTGACCAATTTCCGCTACTTAACTTGTGTCAGGGGCCTGGTTAGGCCCGGGTTCAAGTACAACAGGCCGATAGTATTGGACCCAACCTATTATCCCAACAAAACTAAATGAATTCTCTATTGGAAAGAAGACCATTAACGTACACTCATTTTGTGATGAGGTGTTATGTTCTATTGTTAATTATAAAGTTGTCTCTAAAAGACTACCAATATGATGTGCACATATATGCTCCGTATAAGACAAGTACTACCAATATGATGGTTAGTACTTGTTATAAGAATACTCGAAGAGTGAAAATGAATCCGTGCATACATGCGACGTACCCATATTGAAAGTAAATTTTTCAACCTCATGTGAAACTTGCACTCTATTCATTAATTCACAAATAGGAAATGAGATCCATTAACTTTTAATTAATCGGGAGGTTTATGTTATTAATTAATAGAATTAAATAACTCATATTTTGAAAACAAAAAATTGTATTTAAGCATTTGTGTGTTCTATATAAGCAATTTCTTTTCATTCATTCATCCTTGAAAGTTGAAAGTCAAACGTACACGTCAAAATTGTGGTCACGAATATATATCTGATGAATAATTACTACTACTACTTGAAGGTTTCGTTACACACCAATTAAAGGAGCGGTCGTGCTTGGTGTACACATTTTGGTGAATATCTTTGGTACATTCGTCTGTCTCACGCACAAACAATTATCTGTCCACAAACAACTCTACACAAAAATGTTGTTTGTGGACAGACAATTGTTTGTGCGTGAGACAGACGAATGTACGAAAAGTGTACACAAAAATGTATACACCAAGCATTTTTGTTGAAGGAGATGGAGATAGAAGATATATGTGAGCTAGCTAGGCTAAGCTAGGACTATGATTGGGAGCTAAGTTAAGGAGTGAAGAGAGGCATATGAAGTAATCCTCGCTACATGGTATAGTAAGAGCGCCAGTGGGATGGTCAAACCCAAACTCTTGCTCAGCCCAATCCAACAAATTCTGGAACATTGCATTCCCCAAGTACCCTATCGGAACCACAAACCGCCGTCGTGCTTCGCCGACGTACACGGCAAAGTGCCCCTTCGGAGCGACAACTTCGTCGCTACTCTCGTTTTTCCTCCTTCTCGTACAAAGGTTATTAATGCTTCCTTTTTTAGGACACATTGTTCTTCCAAACTTCTTCTTTGCTTCGGATATCCCCACTAGTCTCATTAACCCCATTGCTTTTGTACTCCTATTTGAGATAAGTAAGTGGAGTATATTTGGAATGAACTTTCAAGCAATCTTTGAAGTCAACAAAGCTAGTATAGGTAGTGGTTGTTGGAGTAGATAGGTATTGACTAGCTCTTTATATACATAGAAACATTCTATTATTGTAAAATGATCACATGAACTGAGAGGGAAAGATAATGTCAGCTGAAGTTTAATTTGGCAAAATAAAGCTTCACGTGATGTATATATTGCATGCTACCATTGCTGGCTACCAAGCTTAGATAGTCACAATGTGTAGTGGCCTACGCATTGGACACTTGGGGAGCATACCAAAACTTGTACCTTGCAAGATATTCAATATGTACTAGCAAAGAAATCATCCATATCCAGCTATACTTGCATACATAAAACTAGCAAATAAATCATTGATATCCACCTATACTTGCATACATAAAACTAAACATGAGCTAGGCACGCCATTTCATCATTATCATTACCCCGCAAAGGCTTCCATCTACTGTGAGGTAAGAAGGGTACATCGGTAAGAGGGAGTCAGATGTACGCGGCCTTATCCATCTACTAAAATATAGATAGACTGTTTCCGGATGACCCATGGTGAAAAACGCACTGAAAGTTGTATGGATTGATTGCTGCTTCGTAACAAAGAAGCACGTATAATTTAGTGAGTCGTTTTCCTTTATTCATCATATTCCCAAGTTAAAAAATTGCAAGCCATAAACATGAGCTAGGCACACCATTTCTTTCAATAAATTCATCATTCCTTTTTCTTAACTACTTAAGTACTTTTAGATTTAGTGAATCAAAATAAAGGTGTTTTTATTGCTAAATTTAGGCGGCCAGACCAGACCAAATAAGAATCGATTAGATTTAAACAAATCGGTTTGGGTTCAAAATAAGACCATATCAGACCAGATTAGATTTATGTGCCATCGAAAATTCTTGTCGAATGGATCCTTATGCTAAAGGTTGATGTATAATGTTTTCAATTTAGGAGCATCGAACGTGGCTGGACTATCTTTAATTTGTCTTGTGGCCTTGTCTATGGCAACCCTTATACGGAGGCAGTCGTGTTCAGTTTTATGTCTACATTCTTTAAAACCTTTGGGTCCCTATTTTAATCATGTGAAATGTTCTTTTTTTTTTTTGCTTTATTCAAAAAAATTATGTTTGAAATATTGTGATTTCACCTCATATCTATTTTAATGTTTAAGTTTGTAATTCGTATATCATTCATATATAATCTACAAAATCCAGATGCCTAAAAAAATTGTAACTTACTTCTTTTCAAAAAAAAATAAGTGCAATTGATATCGTTTATCTCATTTTTATATCAAGAACAACCATATAAGTTTATTTATATGAACGGGTCAAGTCAAGATGGAATGAAAAGTTTAGATTAAAGGGATGTATTGTATATGGATTGAGATATACCTTGTACGGAGTATATTTTTTAACTGGTTGACTTTAAAAAAAGTTTAAATTCATAAACTCTTAAATTCATAGACTTTTTATGAAAAAATATGTTAATTTGCATAAATCTATGGATTTCATATGAATGATACTACATATTTATTAATTTATGAAAAACACGAGTTTTATCAAGAATGATCTTAAGTAACATTCATAAAAAATAATTAAGTAAATAGTTGAAATAAATGTAATTCATCTTATAATGCGGAGTTCTACAAGAATAAATGAGGTTTAAGCATTCAGATTTATATTTTTTAATTCGAAAATTTGAATTCGGAGAATGATCAATAAACTCAGTATCTTTATATATGATTCAATGTAATAATACACATGTCAATGAGTAAGAATAATAATCCTTACATAATTGTTACAATCATTGCTACATGTGGCCTGTGGATAGGTGCAGTAGACTTTTTCTTCTTAATAATTGTTTTTCATTTTATTTTTAGCTTGTTGAAATTTGTTTACTTATCTACGCTTAAATGTTTTTAGTTTGATATCATTAGTGGTTTAACGATGCAACAAGATAATTTCTAAATATGTTTTTTATTTCGTAATGATTAAATGGTAACATACATGTTGGGTTAATTGGCCCGATTTAGGAGCAACCCATTATCCCTTAGCAAATACCCATCAAGGCCCAGCTTGGGAGCGGCCCAGCAAAGGGATTTGCCCGACGTTCGTCCATCCCATGCGACGCTCGGCTTTCGTGCCTTACTTAAATAAGTCCAGGCGATAAATCAAGAGCCTCGAAGGTAGCCTCTGTATGGACCGAGCGACAGCCTAGTTGTTTGTTTACTTGAACCAAGTCAGGGGACTAGGGGGATGCTCGTCCAGGACCCTTGTAGGGAAAGCAAGATATTTGCGTGAAACACATTTAATGCTAGCTACTCAAGAACCTCCACATAACCACTACTACCTACCCTTGGTACTATAAATAGTAGCATTTATTTCATAGTTAGGTTAGCAAGTTGTATTCACTAGCTATAGCAATTATCCCGCCCCTGTATTCTCAACTCAGAATAGACGCTCGGCCTCGTCCGAGAGTAACGTGCGCTTATTAGTTCCTTATTATCAAGTAATAACCGGTGATCGTAGCTCAACTGAAAGCAAGGGAGTGGCACAAGGGTTAGGTCCCGGGTACGAATCCCGGCAACTGTGATGAGGGGTTACTATGCTAAAAATGCATAGGGCCTCTGCAAGTACCAGGGACAGAGCCCCACTCTCTATCTGTCAGATTGGGATTATAGTCTAATTTACATCCTCTCAATGTACCGTCCGGTCGGGGTTGGGGGGCCCTCAGGGATGGGGTGTCATCCTTTTTTTATTATCAAGTAATAAGAACTCGACCCACTTACTAGACATTTGACATGCTTGCCATTTATTGCTTGTGTCATTCATCTATACTCAAATCACTAAAATATTCCCTACTAAACCCAAAGAAAGGTGTTGGGCTCTTGGAGTTGAAGGCTAAACATTAACAATACCAAAATTTAATCGATATGATACCATCGGTTCTTAAAATAAAATTCAGAACGAACTGATATTGGATTAACAGTTCTTCAAATGGTTCCTAATTTTATCTTTCGAATAACCGAACTGATCTCACCTCTAAATTTTTCTTCATAATTAAGATGATATATAAAAATCACTTTTTTGTATTTAAGTTTATCGTGTGTATCAAAATTGATGTAGAATGTCCTTGTTCAGTTTTATTTATCGTAAAATGATAAAAATTAGATTTTAATTTTAAGGAAAATTTCTTAAATAAGACTGCTTTTATTTTATTCTTAAAAAAGACTTACTTACTCATATTTTGAGAAGCTAAGCTTTAATCAAATTATTCTTTTAATATTATAAATTAGTTCTCTCTGGGGGAATAAAATGTGTATTTAATCTTATTTTGAAACATTGTCAATATTTTGGTCTTCTAGTGAACAATACTTTCTAATATGGGAGTAATAAAATGTAGTACCTAATCTATATTTGGTCTAGGTTGTAGTGAAAAACATTTCCTAACATGAGAGTGATTTTTATGTTCTTATTAATTTGATTAGTGTAGTATAATGTCATGTGTATATTACTATATACATAGTATATGCTTAACATTGTTTTTACTTGAACATCTTTCGGTCTCAGACCAGACCACATCACATCAGACCAGACCAGATCGTATCAGATCGGACCAGCAAACTTTAATCCAAGTAAAAACATCCTTACATAGCAAGCCTTTTTTTAAACAACGACAAGCCTTTTTAATATTCCAAGAGTAAACTTAATGGGGCCAAGCACCTTGTGCTTTGATAGTATTGTAGGGTGTGTTTCGGAAAATAAAGAAAATTAATTAAAATTAATTAATTAAATAAAATGACTAGAGAAAAACAAGAAAGGAGATGAAGCAGAATTAGTCAAAGCTCGTGCTACGCACGATTTCCTTAAAACGTATTTGTTGCCTCCCACAGTGCTAGGAGCGTTGCAACAATCGTTTCCCAGGATACGATGACTACGAACTAGTGTTTGAGCACACAAACAAGAGTTCCAGCGAACGAGAATCAAGAAGAACACAGAAGGAAATTTCAGAGTAGCTGTAGGTGTTTTTAGCTGAAGAATATGTGAGGAATGTATTGTGCGTTGTGTCAAACCGTGTGTTTGTTGCAAAGCACCTGCAGCTATTTATAGGAGGATTTGTTGTGTGTTAAATGAGGTGTTAATGGACCTGAACGTTGGACATCAATGATCAGTCCGTTGGGCATTGAATCGTCCATAAACTGTCCATTTAACGCAGCATTAAAAGAGAAGAACATTGGGCATTAATTGTTGTAACGGACCAGAAGACCTCCTGTTGCGAACAGAAGACCTCCAGGGTCTCCTGTTGCGAACAGAAGACCTTCAGGGTCTCCTGTTGCGAACAGAAGACCTCGAGCGTCTCTGTTGCGAACAGAAGACCTCGAGGGTCTCTGTTGCGAACAGAAGACCTCGAGGGTCTCTGTTGCGAACAGAAGACCTCGAGGGTCTCTGTTGCGAACAGAAGACCTCGAGGGTCTCTGTTGCGAACAGAAGACCTCGAGAGTTTCTGTTCCGGACAGAACTCAAGCATCTCTGTTCTGGACAGAACTCCACCCCTTCTGTCACTGGGAAAAAATAAAACGTTACGGAAAGAAACAAAAATTAGACCGTATCTTTGAATGATAGGTTTTCGGACGACATTCGTGTCCGCAGGTCGCCCGCGCACTCGAGTCGCGGTTTTTCTTCTCCGTTTCGGGATTTGATCGGCACCCCCTGCGCGTAAGAGAGAGCCTTTCCCTTTAGGAATCTTAACTCCTTAAAAGAGGCTTCCCTTTATAAGGAGGTGAAAATCCCTTGAGTTTTTCGGTGTGGGATAAAAGACACTAGAAACTCACCATTTTCCCAGTTTTTCCATTTCAACGAGTGAACTTCGAGAATCAATTTCTCATTCACCCGTTATCCGTTTTGAGTGTACCACATATCGAATTGTAGCTCTTAACAAGGACAATCCGAAACCACTTTGACCCGACCCAAATCGGAAGTGGACCCCACTCAAATAATTGCCCCAAAATGACCATTTAATGCAATTTTTAACACATTTTTCCAACAAGTATGACTGTGACACTCTAGGAGGAGGTCATAGGTTCGCAACACGTATTATATTCTAATTAAGAATATTGACATTTAACAATAATTAATTTATACTAGTAATATGTAGTCACTAATAACTTATACGGAAAGAATGAGGAACCCGTACGTACTGTTTAATTCATCAAGCTTGATAAATGGCATACGTACGTATAATCGTACATAACACGTTTACAATATCCAACTGATATACTACTCCGTATATTTTACCATTGCGGTAAACAAATGTGGTCAAGACTTAAATACGAATTCCTACTATAAACGTGTCGGTCTAAACTACTATACCTAGTGAGTGAGTATCCCATAAATTCCACTACGATTGCTGGGAGCTAAGAAGAGAAGTGAGGCTTAAGAAGTAATCCTCACTACATGGGATTGTCAGCCCGCCGGTGGGATGCTCATACCCAAACTCTTGTTCCGCCCAACTCAACAGATCCTGGAACAGCGCGTGCGCCAAATATTCGATCGGGACGACGAACCGCCGCCGTGCTTCTCCGACGTACACGGCGAAGTGCCCCTTCGGAACAACCGCTTCGTCGCTACTCTCATTGTTCTTCCTCCCCCTCGGAGACAACGTTCTTCCGAGCTTCTTCTTTGCTTCGGCCATCCCCACTAGTCTGATGATTCCCATCTTGCACAAATCACAATGTTGCAACTATTTAAGAACGAGAGAATATTTGAGCGAGTATATATATCTTGCTTTCAAAGATCGATGTATGTGAATTTTCCGGAATGGAGTACATAGCTAAGTGGTTACTGGCTTTATATATAGGCCGGAAAATTCTATCTTGGAAAATATAATCATAATTAAGGGAAAGATATATGCATGCCAGCTCAAGAATAATATGGCAAATTAAACCTTCACGTGGATGTGTCTATTAGTGTAATCCAATTGAATCGACGATCTCATATGGAGTGTATATGCGTGCTAGTATTGCTAGCTACGTACGTACGTAGCTAAGATAGTTCCAATATATATTGGCCTACATATCGTCCACTTTAGGGAGCATTCCAAATATCAATTTCAATTGAGAGTATATATATATAATAAGACTGAAATTCGAAAACAAAACTCTAAACAAGCTAGGGCACGAAATATTTGGTTGAATTATAGAATACTCTTTGCGTTCCGAAATAATTGTCCTACTTTGACCTTCAGATTAAGAAAATGAAGTTGACTTCACACTGTAGCGACACTATTTGGCACTGTAGCGACACTGTTTGGCACTGTAACGACACTGTTTGACACTATTTTGCACTATTTGACATTGTTTTTGTATAGATTTGTTTACCAAATAAGGAAAGTTTCAAAGTACGACAATTAATTTGGGACATCCATTTTGGAAAGCAGGACATTTATTTCGGGACGAGGGGAGTATCTTATTGTATTTTATTTCACTTGAATCCATTTTTTCTATTTTGAGATACATTAAAGTTTAAAACTCATATTCATACGTATTTTATTTTTTACCAAACACTGGTATAAAAGAACACATTAGTACATATTACACCGAAATGAAATAACAACACATAGTCTAGCAATTACTTCCAAAACAAGTTAGATGTTTGTGTTTAGTTCCGTTTCCTTTCTCTCATTTTAAATTTTCAAAAACTATTTTTTTTAATTTTGTACTAATAAGGAATGGAAAATATAAATGATCAAACTTATGCGTTAACAAACGTGAAAAGTGGACCATTGCAATTAAAAAAGAGGTGAGAAAATATATTTTTATTTGATTTGAAGCCATTTTTATGGTTCTAAAGGTAAACGTCGGTGAAGATCCATGGACGGAAGACCGAATGGTAGGATTTGTACGGTGAACACAACGTATAGCCATCAACGTAACGACAACCAGCTTAGCTTGCATCACTTATTTCCTTCAAGTGTACAACATATTGTATTTAATAATAGGGAAGGAGGTTTCGCCTATTATCTCATAGATCCCTGTACTATTAAAAATATACTTTTACCCCTCCTAATCCTTTAATAAGAGTTTAAATAACTCCTAATCATGTTTAGAAAAATTATAGAATTAATCATGTAAATATTCACTTGCATATCTGATCTGGTAACAAATAAATTTATCCGTATTAAGAATCTTTCCACAAGAAGGTACACTTTGTCGTGGAAGATCGAATTAGCTGATGTAGTCTATCTAAAACATTTAAAAATTTATCCGCATATCTAATCCTGAATTAATAATTTTAAAAATTTAAATGAACATTATTTATAATTACAGTTTAGCTAAATGATGGAGTATATGGCCCAGGAACCCCCGGCCCATAGACTCCCACTACTATAGCAGTGGTCCAATAGGCCCAGGAAGCACAACAGGCCCAAATCACAGCGCCCCAAGTGCCAAACAGTCCACGGTGAACACTAGGGTGCCTTCGGCCCCCTAGCCGAAGGCTCATAAACTTACAGTACAACTTCTTTTAAGCACTCGAAGTGTCTGGGAGAAAGCGACGAAAAAAGTAGCCCTCGGCACCTAGAGCCCTCGACACCTAGAGGCCCCCAGGATGAAGAGCCTTCGTCCAATCATCTACGGCCGAAGGCATCTCCTCGACAGAATCTTCCACCCACATGCGCCGGATCAACGTACTGAGTACAAACGTCACATCCAACCACCGCATTTAATGCGGCCACATGTGAGTGCCAGTGCCACCCCATTGAGGTGACCCCTCGACCACCAGAATGATGACATGTGTCCCTATCTGGCATTTATTACTACTATAAATAGCACCCCTTTTCCCCATTTGTAATCCATGCTCAATACGCTCAATACTTTCTCAGCGATATATATTCCCTCTCTTACTTTTGCTCTGACTTCTCTCTAGTTACTCCCCGCAGTAACCACTCGGATAGATACCATCGGGTACACTTATCCATCATTTGGTGCTCTTGTTGAGAGATCAAACAATCAAGTAAGAAACCCTCCCCTTCAGCTAAAAACATCTACTAAAATGGGAAGAACCACCCGTGCTCAGTCCAAGAACCTTGAGGACAACAACCTGGCCCTCGGTGAAGTCAACGCCCCCGGAGCCTCTAACAAGGCTCCCGAGGGCGGGGTCATCGCTGAGTTGGAACAGGTTGCTGTTGACCTGCGCCTTCAACTCCAGCAAACCGCTCCCGATGCCCGCCTTGGCATCGAAACCCGAAGGAGGGACCGGAGCGAAAATCAAGTGAGCCCCCTTGGTTCTCACTATCGACGTACAATCGGCATTCTCTGCCTTCATCCAGACACTCACTCAAAACCCAGGTGCCTTCGGCACTCTGGTGCCCCTTCAACCGCAAATCGGGGAGAACGTTGTTCTTCTCCCACGGCCACCCCCCTTCGTGAACCCTACCCCTCGGGTGGGGAACGACGAAGGGGTCCTGGCTCAAGACACCGCCTCCCAAGAGGTCCAGTCCCGCCCTCCAGCGCCGGCTTAATGAGATGGAGGCCCATCAGGCACATACCGTCGTCACCACCCCTCATGCAGATCCCAAATATGAGGCCATGTTGGCCAAAATGGAGGAAATGCAAAAGAAAATAGCTGGGTGCTCCGGGGAACCCGTCGTCCAACTCGGGACTAGGATGCCATTTACCCCAAGGGTATTGGCGGCCCGAATCCCGGAAAAATACCGGGGGCAACCCATCAGGCCCTATGAAGGGAAGACAGATCCCCAGGAGCATTACAGTCGATACCAAAACAGCATGATGATGGTGGGGGCATCGGATGAATATTTGTGTCGTTGGTTCCTTTCCACCTTAGAGGGACCAGCGTACGAATGGTTCAACCGATTGCCCGAAGGCTGCATCGATTCATGGCAAAACTCGCCCAACGCTTCCTGACACAGTTTGCAGGGAGGCGTCGGTCAAGGAAACACTTCTCCCACTTACTAACAGTAAGACAAAGGAAGGAGGAGACCCTTCGGGACTTCTTGCAGCGCTGGAGGACGGAGGCGGATAAAGTTGATGGCGCTGACGATGGGACCCTCCTGGCCCTCATGGCTACTTCTGTCCTACGATGGCCCGAGATTGTGCGGATCTCGCTCGAAGGTGTACCGCATGTCAACACTTCCAGAAAGCCCCCGGCAGGCCAGCGGTCAACTATGCCCCCATCAGCACATCTATACCCTTCGCTAGATGGGGCATAAACCTTGTGGGCCCTCTGCCGAGGGGTACCTCCAACAACAGGTACATCATCGTTGCCATTGACTACTTCACCAAGTGGGTGGAGGCTGAGCCCCTCGCCAGCATTATTGAGGCCAGGTGCCACCACTTTGTCCTAAAGAACATTCTCACAAGGTTTGGTGCCCCCCAACAAATCATATCCGACAACGGAACCCAATTTGAGGCAGCCCCTTTTGTGCCCTCCTAGAGGCATGGGGCATCAAACACACCTTCTCGTCCGTTGCTTACCCCCAAGGCAACGGTCAAGTGGAGAATGCCAATCGGATATTGCTTGAGGGCCTCAAAAAGAAGCTGGAGGCGAAGGGGGAGGCTGGGTAGAAGAACTCCACAATATCCTGTGGGCTTACCGTACCACCCCTAGGCGGGCAATAGGTGAAACACCCTTCTCCCTGTCCTATGGATTTGAGGCTAAAGCTCCCACTGAAGTGACCCTTCCTACCCGAAGGGTAGCCCAATATGATCCCGAAGTTAACGACGCCAACATGGCCCTCGACCTTCACCTCATCTCATAACGCCGAGAGCAAGCCTTCATACGAGCGGAAAACTACCGAAGGCAAGTCAAAAGCTACATCGATGCCAAGGTCCATTTTTGAGAATTCCAAGTGGAGGACTATGTCTTACGACGAAGGGAAGCAAGCCAGCCAACCGAGGGCGGTAAAACGGAACCCAAATTTGAGGGCCCATACATCGTTGCAGCCGTCATCAAACCGGGAACTTACAAGTTCAAACGCCCCAACGGGACCGATGTCCCCTGACATTGGAATGTACACCATCTAGTTAAGTTTTATCAGTAATATTAGAGCGGACAAGCCCTCATAACTAATGAATGTATTATTCTACGGCCCAAGGCCTTCAAATTTGAAGACATATTGAAGACACCAAGAACAAGAAACAAGACACATATGAGCGGCCAAGCCCTCATGCAGACTCCTGGCCCAAGGCCTTACTGCAAAACTCCTCGGCACCAAGTGCCGAGGGTTTACACTCCAATCACCTACGACAAATGAAGGAAACACCAAGTGTTTTTAAGAAGACCCCTCGGTACCAAGTGCCGAGGGTACGTACTCCTATCAACTCCAGACAACAGAAATCACCAAGTGTTTCCCTTTGAAGACCCCTCGGTACCAAGTACCGGGGGCTGAAACAAACACCAAGTGTTGTTCCTGAAGCCGTACCCCTCGAGGACGCATTTATACCGAAGGCACCCCTATCGGTGCCAGCAGCACGTAGTCTCCCCGGCCATTTGCACAAGATGTAGCAGTGTGAAGGCTGGATAATTGGGAAGAAAAACTACAATACAAACATGAATTTAAGTATAATATAAATGCACATATACATCACTTTTTATGCACCATTAGTAATATATTGTTCTTACCAGTTCTACATCCTTCAGATTTATTTCGGGTTTCACTGCTTGGAGTCCTATAACCATGCCTTGCTTCAACAACGAATATGATGTGTCATCCGTCATGCCATGGGCTTCAAGCGTGTATAGCTGCCACAGTTTTAGTTAACATAGAATGCATTATTATAAACCTAAAATATGAACTGACAGAGTAACTGAAAAAAATGTTTTCCTGCACATGGATATGCTGGTGCAAAAAAACGACATGGTGATCCTTCGCTTCGAAACTT